ATCACTGATATTTTAAATCAAAGCATCAAGCGCAAACAACACAAGGGGAAGTGTTTCCACACAAAAAAAATCATCCACGTACCAGAATGAGCACATACTTCATGCCCAGCTGATGGAACTCTTCAACCATTTGGGGCAAATCTCCAAATCTTTGAGGATCAAACGTAAAGACTCTTCTTTGGTCTGCATAATCAAGGTCATTCCACTGTACGTCCTACAGAAGTACATTTAAGGGTTATCATGTATATCTCTTGACCTTCCATTTCCGGTATGATGAATGAATCAGAAGCCACGTGAACAACAATTTTACACAAAACCGGATTAAAAATAACTGATATAGTCATGTGACAACAATGTAGGGTCATTCCATGTCAACTCAACCAGAGGTCCCCAGCTAAAAATGTTGATTTTAATAATTTTTTATTTCTGGTGAAACATTATTTGTTTCAACATTATTTGTTCTTCAGACATTCCTCTTTAAAAGAAAAAGTATAAGCTGTATGAAAAGTGACTCGCATTTGGTTTTTGACCATTGAAAATGTGTACAGTTTAACAATTTACTCTTGGAGCCATACTGAGATCTCTGGAATTTAACTACGTAGGGCCTTAAAAGTTTCCAACACACACACACACACAGGACCATTTTTGACACCATTAGTATATAATGCAACAAGGATTGCTAAAGTGAACATATTATTAATAGGCCTACCAATATCTCTGTAAAAATAAGATTTAATAAAAGTTATTGTCCCACTCCTGTAATTTGGCTGCAAATGTCTAGCAAAAACTGCCATTTTGACCCCTGCTCAATAAATATTCATCCATGGCATTAAAGGGATAGTTGACACAAAATGAAAGTTCTGTCATTAATTACTCACCCTCATGTCGTTCCAAACCCGTAAGACCTTCGTTCATCTTCTGAACACAAATTAAGATATTTTTGAGGAAATCCGAGAGCTTTCTGATCCTCCATAGACAGCAATGCAACTGAAATGTTCCCAGCCAGAGAAATGTAGTAAGAACATCATTAAAATACTCCATGTGACATCAGTGGTTCAACCGTTTCGTTCATCTTCTGAACACAAATTAAGATATTTTTGAGGAAATCCGAGAGCTTTCTGATCCTCCATAGACAGCAATGCAACTGAAATGTTCCCAGGCCCAGAAATGTAGTAAGAACATCATTAAAATACTCCATGTGACATCAGTGGTTCAACCGTTCAAGTCGTTATTTCTGTTTTATTTGCAAACAAAATGTATTCTCGTAGCTTCATAAAATTACGGTTGAACACCGGATGTCACATGGACTATTTTACCGATGTCCTTACTACCTTTCTGGACCTTGAACATGTCCGTTGCTGTCTATGCAGGGTCAGAAAGCTTTCGGATTTCATCAAAAATATCTTAATTTGTGTTCTGAAGATGAACGAAGGTCTTATGGGTTTGGAACGACATGAGAGTGAGTAATTAATGACAGAATTTTTGGGTGAACTATCCCTTTAAATATGTGGCTTTCATCACTATTTATGTCCGTCTTTATTCAGAAAAAATATGATCAAAATGTAAAAAAAAATGTGCAGGGTAAGTTTCTGATATTTGGCTGAATTGACATAGAATGGCCCTATAGCATACTACAGTTTAAAAAATACTTGTTAAAATATAGACAGTGAACACACAGTACTGAAAACTTTTTGACTCCAAGGCCTCCCATTGTCCACAACAATATTCAAAGCCCCCCTCCATTTATTTTTACAATTTCTTCCAGATAAAATATATTAGAACTTGGCCTAACTTTTCCAATTCACAAAATTTAAATCATTTTAAGTCATCTTGAGGCCCACTTGGAAGTTTGTTACAGTGCCCCCACCCCACCCCCAGTTGAGAAACACTGGTATATACTGGGCAACAGGGGAACATACTAGAGGGATCTTGGCCTGGCGCATGAGCTGTACCACTGTTCTTGTTATGTTGGTGGACGTATAACCCCAGCGACAGAGGTGGAAGCCCAGTGACCAGTAGGGTGGCATCATGGGATAACCTCAAATGACAAGATACAACAATATAAGTTGCCTTGTGGGTAAAATACAATTATAACACAGCATGTAGACTGTCATATACCTATAACCTCATGGTACTGCTGAACCACACTCTGAGGACTTGGGCCTAAGAAGATGTAGAAGTCCAGTATTCCTCCGACAGTCACCCAAGTTAATGCTGGAGCGGGCTGCAGAAACACTTCTGCAATTGGCAGGTTATCAAGATTTTTAGACTTAAAAAGGAGACCCACATAATAAGCCATTTTAGACAACAACAAAACACTGTACCCATCGCATTGCTGTTGAGAAGAAAGACTCCATGTGCCTGTCCATCACCTTCTTGGACCAAAAAGAAAGGGTGGGAGCCGTACAGGTTGGCGCTTCTCTACAAAGGCCCATATAAAACATTAAATACAGCTGAAAACAAAAGGCAAGTTAAAGAAGAATGTGAAATGATGTGAAGGTCTCACATGTGGCGCCATGTCTCTGTTCCATAATGAAACAGAGCTCCAGTTGAGGTCCAGCGTGATGGGGGTGTAATGTTCACCCAGGCCAGATATCGCAGAGGAAGCCATGCTGGTGGAGAGCTGTAGATACTGATCTGCAAACAGGAGCGGGCCTATTGTAGTATTCAGACTAGGAAAAGAAAAATACAATGTATTCGTTCAACGTTATCAAAACGAAAAGAAATTTGTTCAGTGGGCTGTCATTGACTGCCAGTCAGAATCACAAAAAACAATATAAGCAGAAAACGTACACATACAAAGCAAGAAAAGAAAAATGATCTAAACTTACAGAACCCGGCCATTGGATTTTCGCCGTACAATGAATCCAAATGGATCTGGTTGGAAGTCAACATCATAGAGGGGGTTTTGAATGTCCTTGTGGCCCCTGGATTGGGACGTCACAAAGGGAACCTCATATCGTGGAGATGCTGGATCTTTCAGCTGTGTTAAAGTGAAATTAGTCAGATAAAGTAAGATTGGGTCATCTAAAGGCTGGAATGTACTATTCTGAGCAGACTTTAAAATACGAGGCACTTATCAATAAATGCTTACAGAGAAAAACTAGCCATCATACACTAAAAAACTGAGAATCGCACACTACCAGAAGTCATTCAGAATGGAAAAGCTAGTAGACACATGACAAATGAAAACAATGTGTTGTAAAATATGGATGAAAATATAGTCTGTAGATAAAAAAAAAAAAAAAAATTCCCATCATACACTATGTGTTTTTCTCCAATTGCCCAAAATCTGCAGACTAGCTCTGACTAGCAGCAGATTAGTGTTGACTAATTGCATTTCAAATAAAGTGGAGGAGGTTTCTTATAAGATCTTCTATTGAGTTTACCCAGTTAAGTCTCTTGTTGTTTAGCGCTTTAAAGTTAATATTTTTGTGCTGTTATTCATATAATAAATATGTAAATGATAAATTAACAAACTTTAAAAAAATGAACTAGTCTAAGAAAAAAAAAGGAAAAAAAGATTGTTGTGTAAATTAAATAATACCAAAATTAACCATTTCTGATGCAAATTTCAGACACAACTGATTCAAGCATTTATCTTTCCCAGAATTCAAGGACAAATCATCTGATTGTATTAAATTCCCTCACAAATGACAATATCTTTATCATTTGTAATTGAAATGACTAAATGAATTGCTCACAGTGAGGTGAAGACGACCCAAAGTCTCAGGCATCACATCTAGCTGCAGTGTGGGGATGTCCCGGGGCAGGTATGAGGGTTCAGAACGGGCCAGGGTGGCTCTTTGGCCCTTCTCTGTGGGCAACAGGGGCCCCATCTTGTAGCCTGGGTAACGGACTGGGTAGAAACACCACGGTGGTCCTCCTAATCCAGACTGAGGCAGGGGCACATAGCAGCATCCTCTGCCCTCACAATCAGCCCGGCTCAAAGATCTATCACGGCCACAGTCGATGCGGCTCTCCACAGCTATACCACACTGATCGCTGACTAAACTAGTGTGAGTCCTGGGATCAGCAGATACATTAACATTATTGCTTAAGTTCTTTCGGAACGGAATGCTCCTGTATGAGATGTTTGAACTATGCTGCCATTCTGCTGATGGAGAAAAGGCAAATGAAACGTTCTTGTCCTTGTGCACCAGAATAAGTACAGAAGTCAGTAGTGCAAATGTGTGCAGGGGCCCACAGCAGATCCTGGCCATTTAAAGGTTTGTTAGTTTGGCTATTCTTGCATTAAACACAGGTTTACCAAGCTGCAATGATCAATACAATAACTAGAAATGGTAAAACAAGAGTAAAAGGGGAAAAGCCCGTTCTGGAGAAAGAAACAGTGTAAGATTAATTACTCCCAACACAATAAATCGCTCATCTCTTTTTCAAAGCGGGGGAGAAAATGACGCATGCGCAGTTTCGCACTCACAAAACTTCACAAATAAGGTTTAAAATGTAGCATGATGATCCAGACTAGCTTTTAACAACGCATGCGAGATATTATCCTCCGGGCGCCGCCATGTTCCCGCGACGTCACGAACCTGGTTCTCTGCGAAATCGGTGTTTCCTCTTTTATTAGAACGTTTTTATTGTGTTATTGTATCATTTATTATCTATTTACATTGTATTCATTTTCTGGTTGCGATATTATTTATTGCCTTTGTTAATGCTACATTTATATTGTTCCATTTTATGTGCCCATTTGTGGCAAATTGAACGTATATTTTTGCACTGCTTACTTTTTTTTTTTTTTATTGCATTCCAAATTTGCAACGATACAACAAAAAGGCAAATATCCAAAATAATAAATGTTATATAACTTAAGTTAGACCCATATCAATTTGCATAAACATGTGCGTAGACCTACAAATTTCATTCTAAATATTTTTGTTTCTATTAAACGTATTACTACAAAATTTCCCTCGCAGATTCATCAGTGTCGCGTTGACCGAACGATCGTCACTTCCTCATTGTAGCGCTCGCGCTGCGGAAGTGTTTGAAAGTGCCGTTTCGCGAGACTAGCGCAAGCTCCACGCTGCACGAGCTGATCAATAGGCCTCCGCACGCGGCATGTGTAAGTGAACACGACCTAGTTATCATCATTAATGGTATTTGCATCATATAATATATATAGAGAGAGAGTTTAACACAATATTAGTCGGCAGCATGGATTAGAACGAATATGCGTGCTAGATCATAGACAGACACTTCTTGTATGTGTCTAATGGTGTTTTTGGGGAATTAAATAGCCTTTACTTGTTGCCTTAGGATTTAAAGTTTCGCATGATGTTCATATTGTTTGTACTGGTGTTATTATGAAGGTTATTATTGCGTATTTATGCGGCTCGTGTCTGAGGTTTTCAAACTAAACATAAGGAGAGAGACAAGGCCTCAGCGTGGTATGCAGGCATGACCATGTGCATTGCTTGCTTTTTCGTGCTTTGTCTGTATTTAATAACGAACAATAATTTGGTGAAACATTGGATACACAATTCTTTGTCGACTTTATGCAGATTTCAACAATTTTACTGAATTGCGTAAACTACGTGCATAAATTCTCAGTTCACAAATTACCGGTTTGTCAATTAATGTTTGAGTGCGCAAAATATACGTGTTGAATAGATTGTAAAACCAAAGTAAACTTTGAAATGTACATTTTTGCTATTAGAAACGAGTGTTTTTAGTCAAAGTTTTTCTCTCTTTTAGAAGAAATAGAATGATTTGAAAAATGATTTCATTATATTAGTTTGATATACATACACAAATAAAACGAACTGAAAACAAAAATAACTTATTTAGTTTGAAATTGAGATCAAAATCTGCCAGGAAACTCTTAAATTCAAAATATTAAAGTAGTTTTTTTAAATACAGTAGGCCTATTTTAGAGAGCGAGAGAGAAGTTTTGTATAGTACATATGATTGTGTATCTGAATTGGATTTATCTTTTGTTATCGCTGATAAACATGCGTAACATTCTAGAGGTTTCCATTTGTTTGGTTTAACCTTTCATGAACCAAAATTCGTCTCCAATCGCTGATATAGAGATTAAACGTAACAATATGTTGCAGGTTTTAAGCTGTTGTGCTTTTATGCAGTCATATGCATTGATATTGTATGTTTATCAATGCCTTCTAGTGTCCTCAACAATGCATGCAGTGCATAATACACAAGGTAGTAGTAGTGGACTACATTGCTCTGCCGAAGTACATAGACCACAAAGTGGAAAAAGTTGTTTTGCAGTCATAGGTGTTGCAATCGTTTGATATGAGGAAGTGTTTCATGAAGACACGAGGAGGGAGAATGTAATTGTTTGTGTCTTGTGTGGTTTATGTGTAGGATGGAGTGGCAGCCAGATGAACAAGGCCTCCAGCAGGTCCTGAATCTCCTGAAAGATTCCCAGTCTCCAAACACAGCCACGCAGAGAGCTGTGCAGCAGGTATCCTCATCTACACGGCCAATATTTGCTGCCAGTTACAATTCTAAAGGGATTTGTGATATGTGGGTGGTGACCATACTGATATTGAAAATCCGTAGTGTTTTTTTTTTTGTAATTATAGATAGCAGTATGACAAAAGATGTTTTATGTTAGTATATGGAAATACTGATATCATTACATAATTTTATGACCTTGACTTGTGGACTTGGTGTGCCAGGTTTCAAAAGCACTGAATGGTTATCAAGTTTTTTCCGCAGTGCAATAATATGTTTGGATACCTGATTTAAAAATACTGTTTATGTGGCATGACATGAAATTAATTATCGGCTGTAGGGCTTTTATTTCAGAAGTCTATATGCTATAAATGAAATATTCCGTCTGCTTTATCAAAGTAGAATTAATGTACACGTTGAACTGTGACTAATTATGTACAGTCAGTTACCATCATTAGTAATGTCTTAATTCTCTTTCATTTTAACTCTCAGAAACTAGAGCAGCTGAACCAGTTTCCTGATTTCAACAACTATCTTATCTTCGTCCTGACGAGGCTGAAAACTGAAGGTTTTTATTGCATTTTTAATCATATTACACATGTGGGTTGTTCCATGAGGGTTTCAGGCAGTCTTTATGTATGAATTTGATTATATAACTGTCTGTTTCCTTTCTTAACGCTCTTTAGATGAGCCCACTCGATCTCTCAGCGGTCTGATACTGAAGAACAACGTGAAGGTTCACTATCAGAACTTCCCCCCTGCAGTCGCGCACTTCATCAAGCAGGAATGTTTAAACAACATCGGAGACCCTTCCCCTCTCATCCGCGCCACTATCGGTGAGCCTCCCAGCTCGGTCTAGAATAAGCCAATGAACTGATTTTTATTAGCTAGAAATCGCATTTTGTGAATGCAGTCTTAAAAACTACTTGGAAAAAGGTCTTTTGTTTACCAAAGCTGCATTTAGTAAAAACGGTAATATTGTGAAAATGTAATTAAAGTGTAAAGCTATTTTCTATTTGAATATTTTAAAATGTAATTTATTCCTGTGATATCATTACTGCAGTCTTCAGTGTCACATGATCCTTAAGAAAGCATCCTAATATGCTGACTTGCTGCTCAAGAAACATTTTTTGTTATTCATGTGCTGCTTAATATTTTAGTGGAAACTGTGATGTTTTTCCATGATCCTTTGATGAATAGGAAGTTCAGTATTTATTTGAAATAGAAATATTTGTAACTTTATAAGTGTCTGTCACTTTTGATCAACTTTATGGGCAGTCAGTGAAAATATTTCAATTTTATATGTGCTGATTCTTGTCTGTCTGTGTTCAGGCATCCTCATCACAACGATTTCCACCAAAGGGGAGCTGCAGACATGGCCAGAGTTACTGCCTCAGCTGTGCAACATGCTCAATTCAGAGGACTACAACATCTGTGAGGTCAGTGCATTGCCTCTTCATATCTGCTTTTCCTGCTTTCCCCCTTCTATTTTGTGCACATTTTCATATGCAAATGTGTTTGGAAATGATTGAAGACGTAGGCAAAGTGGCCATGGTGCTCTCTGTATCAGATCTAGAGATGTTCCTGAGTTGTGTGACTTGTATCTTGGTTCGTTCTCATTCACACGCAGGGCTCGTTTGGAGCTTTACAGAAGATCTGCGAGGACTCGTCTGAGCTCCTGGACAGTGACGCTCTCAATCGACCCCTCAACATCATGATTCCCAAGTTCCTGCAGTTCTTCAAACACTGCAGCCCCAAGATCAGGTCAGTCTGAGAGAGGATGGATAGTTATTTTTCATGTGTTAAATTAAAATTGTTCTGGGAATCTTATGCTTGTTCATGTGCGTCTTTAGGTCTCATGCTATTGCCTGTGTGAACCAGTTTATCATCGGAAGAGCACAAGCCCTGATGGACAACATTGACACCTTTATTGAGGTACCTGCAGTTTGAACGTGATGGATTTAAGAAATAAGTTTGCATGGCACCTGAATCCTAAAACTCATTCATTCAGATAGCAATACTGTGATACTATAAACCCAAGAACTTGCTGGTCAAGTGGTTAGTCACATGATTGTCATCTGTAAACAAAATGTCTATTATTGCTTGGTCAATTAATAAATTCATATTTTATTTAGTAAATAATACTTTAAAAAAAATATCCTATTATTTGATTTTTCTTTTTAATATCCTAATTCAAAATAAGAAAAGCGATGTGCTATCGTTTAATTGTTTTTCTGTCTTGTGTTATCTCAAATGATGGATTTTAAAAACGTGGAAGGTTAACGCAAACTCTTATTAACATACAGTAAATGTTTGACCTGGCTACTTGTTTGACCATTAAAATATTTATTTATATAATTGGTATATAATAAATATTTAAATTTATTGCACACCGTAAAATTCCATTTTGAAATGTAATTTTTTTTTTCTTCTTTTTTTCTTGGAGAACTAATATTCTTGTGGACAGTTTCCAACATTTTAGTAATAAATCTCCCTCCTTGTTTGGGATTGATCCTTTCTTGTAAACTCACAAATAGTTGATTCGACTGGGAATTTTTACATGAATGTGGGAGAAAAACACAGACTTTATGGATTTGGACTGTAATAATATCATTAACCAGCCTCTGTAAATGTTGAAAAGTAGCTTGGACAATTAAAGAATTCAGATTAAATTTAATTACATTTCATTTAATAAATATTACTCATGAAAATATCTTTATTATTATTATAAATATTATTTAAATATATATTTATTTTATACATTTAAATATCCTATTTCAAAATTGGAAAATTATTGAATACCGTAACATAGGGATGGGCGATATTCCGGTAAAAATTCTCCCCACGATAAGAATGTCTTCCCGCGATAATAACGATAAAGCCTAGTTATTGACACATTTCTGTGTGCGACCGTGCGGAGCGACATCGTGGAAGGCGGACGTGAAATTGAGGAGTTTACAACTGGTTTGGATAGGGCTGTGCAGTGCACAAAAAATCGGTCTGAATAAATGTACTACAGTAGCACGTGTGCGATACAGTTTTGCATGTGTATGAGCCTGTTTACAAACCTGTTGTCCAACAAAGATATCATTTATTGACATGCTTTTTTTCCAAATTAACTTAACATATGAGTGTTTGAAATAATTTCTTTTTGTGACCAGACGTGGTTTCATATTACAGAATGATAGTATATTAATTATGGTGAAAAATAACTCGTTAAAATTATTAACTCCTTTAATGCACTTGCCCCGCCCCAGACCTGGGTCATCTGACATTTCATACAGCTGATTGATCAAATATGATGCAGGGCAACAACTCACTGCGTGATGGAGCCTAGAGAACGTAGTTAGAATGTCCCTAAAATTCAAGATATGGGGCAAAAATGCCTGTTTGAGTTTCTCATATTTACATCATAGTTAAGCAATATCACATGAGCAATAAGTGCAATATCACACGAGTGCAAATGTGATACTGATCTTATACAACAGTTCAATAACTAAGAAGTTAATATTGTGTTATTTTAGACACAATGTTGTCTGTTTTGCTCAATTTTGCCAACGAAAATATAAATACAAAGCAGAACTGTTCGTCTCCGTCTCCGAGCAACACACAGCGGCATTTCATTTCTTAATGCACGTTTTGAACAAATTGG